CCTGGTGCCTGTGTGTTGGAGTTTTCCCTGGTGAATGAGAGGGTGGCTTCCCTGCACCTTTGAGTTGAGGTATGGGCTCTGACTGATGTTTGTGCCCACGCGCAGAACGGCATTTCAAAGTATCCGGCCTTCTTGGAGTCCTCGGCGGGGGTGCTGGAAGGTACACCAGCTGGGGACTCCTTTATTCTGCTGGGGGACTTCAATGCACGTGGGTAGTGGCAGTGTGACCTGGAGTGGCTCGATTGGTAGGAATGGCCGCTCTGACATGAACTTAAGCAATGTTCTGTTGGACTTCTGTGCTAGTCATAGTTTGTCCATCATGAACACCGTGTTCGAACATAAGGGTGTCCATAAGTGTGCCTAGGATGCCCTAGGTAGTAGAAAGAAAAGATGACCCTAGAAAGATGCCGGACAGACCCAGTAGACCCAAACGTGTAGTGAGGGTTTGCTGGGAATGCCTGGCAGAAGAACCATCAGAAACATCTTCAACTCACACCTCTGGGAGAGTTTTAATTGCGTCCCAGCTGAGGCAGGAGACATTGAGTCAGAGTGGGCCATGTTCTGCAACTCAGTTGTTGAAGCGGCTGCCTTGAGCTGTGGCCACATGGTGGTCTGTGCTTCTCGTGGTGGTCATCCTCGAACTCTGTGATGGACACCCCTTAGGCGGCTTAGGAGTACCAGAGGGCCGAACAGTCCGTAGCCTTGACTGTTGATGAGGCAAAAGCTCAGTTGTGGGAGGAGTTTGGTGAGGCCTTGGATAAAGACTCGGTCGGCTCCAGGGTGGCTCAAGATTCTTCTACAGTGGCCAAGGCCAGCACTGATCACCTCCTGCTCCTCCATTGCACCTGGCTGTGGATAAAACAGCTACACATTGTAACTCCTGCACATCCCAAGTTTATTTGCCTTCCATGTTCATTTCCAGTGCATAAAAACACTCATTTATAAAACTAGAAACAAATTGCTCTGTGACGGGCATGGGCGTACCTTTTTTAGCTCTTCACTTTAGAATAACTGTTGTTTCTGTCATATTTCCTTGTTTTTATGTTTCAGCTAGTTTTTTTTTTCCTCCTCAGGGATGATGGTGGTGATCGTGCTGCTTCTTATAGCCATTATCGTGATTGCAGCGTGGCCCGTGTAGCTGACGGAGACCACACCAACCGGGGACATGTGTTGGACATCTACAACACCAGTGTGATGCAGATATAAAGTGCACAAGTTTGGACACGGATCATCTGAACTCAGCCTGGCATCAGTTTTTTGTCAGTTGGTGGCTGGAGTTTACTGGACCAAAGAAATGTGGAATGAAGATTTATCCGTTTTACGACACTGAAAACCATCGGTTGGTGGAGGCGGGGTGATATTTTGTCTTGTGTAAATATTGTGATTGTATAAATATTTCTTTATGAATATAAATCAAATGTCAAACTCATTAAACTGACTAATCATCAAGCTGGAAAAGTTTTAGTTTGTAAAGAACTTCAATGAACATCTTTGGCCGGGCTCCTGCTTCCCCCCTCCCCCCCTCCAATGGCTCAGCCGAGGCTTACGTTGGGTACAGTGACTCTGCAACCTTCTGTTTACCTAGTTGTTACTGTAGAAGCTGCAATGTTCTGATTCTGTTTGGGTTCTGTAAGGTTTATAGAGCCGCTCGTAGCCAAAACAAACAGCTCAGCTGTGTTACTAACGTGACTCTTCTCTGTCCCCGTAAATCACCTCAGCTTGTAATTTATAATAAACCATTTGAAGTTAAAAGCCTCTGGATTTCTGTCTGCCTTCACCTCGCTCACGTTGGTCGACACAGTGTTTACCTCTGGAGGAACGCTGGCAACGTTTTGATGCACAGATTAAAAAAATTTACAATATTCCATCCTCTTCATCTCCCCCCGCTGTACTTTAATCTGCAATCTGTAAAATGTTAATACGTAAAAAGAACACACAGACTCGAAAGGTTTGTCAGTGAGTTTATTTCAACCGAAAGTCTGAATTTAGTTCTACCAAGCTGGTGTGTTCAGTAGTTATTTCCTTCTTTAATGTCAATGATCTAAACAACCACAAACAAGTAAAAAAAAATTAAAGACAATAAATTTCACACTGTCTCGTGTCATTAAATATATTCATATAATAACCATAATATATTAGTATCGTAAAACAACATTGCTAAACGTCTTTGCAATGGTGACACCAACATTTACATTTCATAGTCTGAACACAGCGATGCCTCGGACGTGGGCCGATGGGGTTTCATCCAGAGCAGGTAGGACATTTACAGCGTCAGTGTAGAGCGCATCAAATTCCAGGCCCGAGGGCCAAATATGGTCCTTGTAAACACCTTGTCTGGCCCCTAAGATATTTAAATGCAAGCTATTTTTATTGCCTCGCATTTTGTTTAAAAAACATCAAACACACCTTATTTCTGCAGATTTCTCATGACAGCTGGCCAGCTTATTTGAACTTTTCAGCAATCTTTCAATTTGACGTGGAATAAGCAAAACAGAATGTCTAATGAGACCCATTGAACAAGTTGATACAGGAACTTGTAACCAAGAAAAGACATACCTTAATGTACCGATTGAAACTGGCTCTTTGTTTGAGCCAGGTTTTTAAGTTTGGCCCCTTTTGTAACAGTTTGACACCCCTGAAAGATGAACTCAACATAACTGACCTTTGACCCAGTGTCACATATGTCAGTTCATGGGTTTGTTGCCGTGATGGGTGGAGCATCCTGCTCAGATGAAATTAAAATGAAATGTAAAAAAATAATCAAACTACAGCTGATGAGGCATCTGTACTTTGTCTCCTACAACACTAATAACTATAACTTTGCAGTTATAGTTTTTTATATGGGACTCTTGGCAGCAGCAGTTAGCCTTAGCACTTTTGGTGCCTTCTGGTGAACCTCAGTTGAGAATATATTCATAGTTCTGCCAAAAATAAATCCTTGGACTGCAAAACTGAACGGAGGTGAGAATTAACAATAGCTTTTGCATGAATTTTAAGAAGTCGAACGTGGCACAAAAACGTTTTAAGTGGCCCAGCTCAGATTGTAGGCGAGCTCATGAAGGCATGTTCGGATGGACCTGCTTTTACTTTGATCGATTGCTTAAAACGACTACGTTGATCAGAATGTCGCAGCGGTTCAGTGAAACACATTTAAATCCTGACGCTGCCATCAGTTTTCATTACTTTTTTCTATCTAAATAAACCTGCAGGATATGTTCTTGGACACACTGGAAGTGCTACGGTTTACTGCTGCTGCAGGTATTTGTGCTTGCAAAAAGCCACAAAATTATTTGTGACCCATGTCCTGTAAAATGATGACGATCTAAAGGTCCATGAACTGCTAAGAGCGTTTGCAGATTGAAGTTGTTGAAAGGCAGCAGATATCGTTTCTGCTCCCAGATGGCTCATCAGTCCAGTCAGAAACAAATGGATTGTTTAGAGTGTTATCCACAACAGGTAAGATAATTATTGTTCTTTAAATTTTCACAGATCCTCACTTGAAAATGGCTGAACATTCACACACATTATGATTAATTTGTCAAATCTGATCTATCTTTGAGCTCTTACAGCCCTGAGCTGTGACGTTATCATTCTGTCCTTAAAGAAATCAAAACAAAGAAATAGCTGCAGTTCAGCTCACTTCCCTCAAATGTTAAAAATGATCATGGCTGTAGCTTCTTATTTATCTGCGAACTGGACTGGTTTTTTTTTTTTTTTTAGTTTAGTTGCAAGCAAGTTTCTAGTACCGTAGAAGGAATTAAAATAATTAGGCCTAACCTCTTTAAATGGTCCAGTAAGCATGTTTCTGTTTCAACTCTACCATGTAAAAGAAATGTATTTAACATAATTTTCATTCTTTCTTTTTTCCTTCTGCATTCATTATATTGAAACCATCACCAGTTCCATTTAAAGTTCTTTGTTCAGAAGAAGTAGTTGATAGTTATTGTTAGTGACACTGCAGCATCACTTTTTCTCTTTTATCTAATTCATATACATTTTAAATGACATTTTGCTAAAAGCTGGTGTCAATAATCCCATGTCTAACTTAATAGACCCTTAAACGTTAGTATTTGTTGCATGTGTGACATACTCTGTGCACAATTTGTTGCTGACCTTTGATAAGATGAAGTACATGAAGCAGTGCAGTGCTTTCACTCGCACACATTGAAGGTTGCACTCATTTGTCACAACAGCAAAGGAAATATGTACAAAAGTTTGTGGTAAAACAAGGGTTGAAGCAGACAGAACATCTGAGTTGTCGTGTTGTGCAGTCAGAGCCCGAGTGTAATTGTATCAAGGTCAGCTTGACTTTTCTGACTTGATTTTTCTGAATATTGAGGCAAATATGTGACTGATCACAGGTTGATCGGTCAAATTGTTTTTTTTCCTCCTGATAGAAAGACTGTGGAAAAAACAACAACAAACACATGAATAAATACTGAAAATAAAAACAGTGATTGGAAATGCACCCCAGAGTATTTAAGCAACAACATACAGAACTGAACACACAAGGAAGCTTTCATGTGCATACAGTACATAACTACCTATTATTGATGCAGATTATGGGTGTTTTAAGGGGTTCCCAAACCTGGTCCTTGATGAACACCGTCCTGCATGCTTTACTTGTTTCCCTGCTTTGACACACCTGATTTGAATGAATTAATGATTAATCAGCTTCTGCATAACTTAAATGTTAAATGGACTGTACTTATATAGCGCCATTCTATCTTATTTCAAGATACTCAAAGCGCTTTTACAACAATCTGTGCCTCATTTACCCATTCATACAGCTCTCTGCTAGATCGCTACAAAGCTAATTGAACAAATCATTCTAAAGAGACTAATCAGAGCTTTATCACATTCATACACTGATGGGACACACATCAGAGGCTATGAGGGGTTCAGTGTCTTGCCCAGGGACACTTCGGCATGTGACTGCTGGTGGATTCGAACCCCCAACTCTCGCATTGGAGGACGACTGCTCAAACCACTCAGCCACAGCTGCCCCTTAAGGAATTAATTAATTCACTGAATCAGGCGTGTTGGCACAGGAAACAACTGAAACATACAGGATGGTGTTCCTCAGGGACTATGGTTGGGAACCATTGTTTTAGACCCCTTTCACACTGGATGGCCACTCCCTGCTACCTGGATGGTCTTGATGGGGTCTTCAGGTGTGTATTAAGAACGTGGTGGGCTCCTCATTGCACATGATAGATTGTGGTGGGTCCATGATGCTTTAATAGCAAGTTTGTGGTAGTTTTTTTATTGTGGGGGCAGTGACCTGGGCTCTGGACTGTAGCCAAAGACTGGAATATTGAGGAAAGTGTTTCCAATTTAAGATATGTGTTTTTGAAACCAGAAGCTAGGGATGTGGGGCTGCAGGAACCCCTACTCAATCACATACAGTCATTATGCTTTTAGGCATGAAATAAGTAATTACAACTATAAATATATTAAAAGAATGAATACAACATACAGCAGTGAGCTATGTGAATCACCAGACTCTATGAAAAAAGACTACACCAGGCATATATTTATTTCTTAGTCAAGAAAACGTTCCATTTGTTTTTAGTGACTAAAGACTAATGAATCCAGCCTCGTTCTGGTTTCAACTTCTTGGTTATGTTCTTGCGTCTAGTTCTAATACATTTCTATAGGTGGAGTTTGGTGGCAACAGCAGTGGTATATCCAATGGTTGTTGGAAATGTGAAGCTGGACTTGCTACACTTGCCTCAGGCCATGACTACAACCAGGATTGGTCATAGAAAGAGTCTAGCCATAAAACCTGTGGTAGTGCCATGTTAGTAGCTGCATCGTGATGTGAACAGAGGGAATTGGCTCCATAGGCGGGTGTATGGAGTGTGGTGAAGGCCCAGGAGAGTGTGTTGTGGATGCAAAAAAATAGCAAGAAAAACCAGTTTAGCAGCATCAAGGTTCATCGAGTTTTTTAATTTGCCACCATTCAGCTACCTGTACATGTGACAGCATAAGCATCATCATAACCCAGTGTGAAAGGAGCCTTGGAAAGGTTTGATAATTCTGTCTTTGCTCTTCGTCTGCCACCAACACCATCTAACATGAGAGAACCCTGACTGATGAGAATGATGAACAGCAAACGTTCCCAAATACAGAAAGAAACTAAATGTGTCTGCTTTTGTGTGAGTGAACAACAAAAGCTCTGAAAGCTCAGTCAGATAAGTGACAACATTCAATGAAACAGATTAGTTTCTTAGTGGGGAGAAAAACATGCAGAGGCAACACTGCAGCTGTAATGAAGTGGCTTTTTGTCATTTTTTGCCACCAGCAGAATGTCCATAAAATTAGATCATACAATATAAGGTTTCATACTGAAATAAAAAAAGCAAAACGTTATAATATACGGGTAATAGGTGCAAATTCGGCAAATCCACAAGAGAGACGAGTCTCGAAATAAAATAAACCATAAAACCAAATCTGCAAGATGAGCTCCTTCAACCAAAGTTCACTAGAAAATAGAAATCATTCTAAATATTTCTCTTCATGCTTCTTCACAAAAAGCAGCAACATAAACAGTGTCCTCTCTGTCCGTGGTCCTCTGTCTCTGTTTTATCTCCAATTCTCTGCTCAGGTTTTCTCTCGAGCTCTTCCTCCTCTCTCCTCCTTTTATCCCTGCCTATGGCTTCTTGCACTTGCCTTTCTTCTCTCGCTGCTGGAACTTCCTGAGCCGGCGCGCCCACGTGTCCCTCCACTGGATGACCAGGCTGCCCTTGTCGGCCACCACGCCGCTCTGACCGGGGGAGTCCTCGTCATTCCCTAGCAGCAAGTACTTCTTCCCAGGCTTGATCTTGGGACACTTGCAGGCCACGTCTTTGGCGCGGACCCACAAGAATTGGTCTCCGCGGCGGATCCGGCTCTCGCCCTGCTTGTACACGGAAATGATGTTGACGGTGAACTTCCACCATTCTCCGCTCTTGTCTGCCTTCAGGATGTGTGCCTGGACAGCTGCAACATGGCAGTATAGAGATGTTAATGTTAAAACATTATCACCCAGTGACATTTTTACTACATCCAAGGTATGTGTCATTTCTGTGGAGTAAATAGAATAGAACAGACAACTTTATTTTTTTATTTTATTCATTTATTCATTAATTTAAAATAAACAAAATAAATCCATTAAAAAGAAAAACACTGAATGAAAATGGTGCAGAAAGAAGAAAAAAAATATTATATCTACCCCTTGTTTAAAAAAATAAATAAATAACTACAAACAAACAACAACGTAGGATTGAACAATCTCCAAAGTGAAAACAAAAAACATCAGGCATCCTTCACATGGCACCATACCTTCCCAACAATTTTAACTTAATCATCTGTTAAAACATATAATTTGTTTTAGACATTTTTTGGCAATATCAAGGCAATTCCACAATCATATTCCCTGAATTACAACGCAGCTCCTTCAGACTACTCAATATTTTTTATGAGCTTTATACATGACTTGTAAAATATTTAATTCAACCAAATCATAACATTTTAATAATTTCAATTGATTAAACAATATATTTTTTGGGTGAACATAGCACTTCCTACTAATAATTCTTATAGCTCTTTTTTGTAAAATAAAAATAGGATTTGTAATTGTTTTTGCATGATTTTCCCCCAAACTTCAATACAATAGATTAAATGTGGAACAATCATTACAATATACAATATATACAAAGCTTTGTCATTCAAAAACTATTTTACTTTATACAGTAATGCAATTGATTTTGCTATTTTTATTTTTAAGTAATTTACATGAGATTTCCATGTCAGCTTCTCATCAACAATGACACCCCAACATTTTATTTCATTAACTCTATGAATTTCAATACGGTCAATTTTAAATGAGATTTTGATCATTTTATTTCTATTACTAAATATTATGTAGTTTGTTTTTTCCAAATTTAATGATAACTTGTTAAGTTGGAAACAAGTTTGTATTTTTACGATTTCTGCCTGTATCATCTCTAACATCTGTTCTATATCTTCACCTGAACAAAAAAAATGTGGTATCATCTGCAAATAAAACACTTCAAAAGTCCTGACACATCAACCAGACCATTTGCATACAAAATAAACAAGTTTGGTCCCAATGCAGAGTTGAGGGACTCCACATCCATTAACACAAAATTCTGATCTTACATCATTTGCCTGTACAAACTGACTCATATTATTCAAATAACTCAATACCCACTGTAGTGCTAATCCTCTAATGCAATATTTATTCAGTTTTTCAAGGAGAACGGTGTGGTCAATAGTGTCAAAAGCCTTTTTTAAATCAACAAAAACGCTAACACAAAATATCCTCATTGAGAAAATTAGATGTAAAAGTTACTTTAGTGTAACGACAATTGTGAATGTTTTCGGAAAGATTTATTTAATTGGCTTGGGTTTCTAACCAACTGAAATATAAAAAAAAACATCTAAACATTGGTTTTCAAAGCTAATTCTTTGAAATCTTTCAGTACGGGCAGCACAGTGGTGCAGTTGGTAGAGCTGCCAGCAAGAATGTTGCTGGAACAAATCCCAGCCGGGTGACCTTTCTGGGTGGAGTTTGCATGTTCTCTCAGTGCATGCGTGGGTTTTCTCCAGGTACTCCAGTTTCCTCCCACAGACCAAAACATGCATGTTAGGCTGATTCTAAATTGTCTCTAGGTGTGAGTGAGAGAGTGAATGGTTGTTTGTCTCGTTTGTCTCTATGTGTCCCTGTGATGGTCTGGAGACCCGTCCAGGGTGTACCCCGCCCCTCACACAGTGATAGCTGGACATGTGCACCGGTGACCCCCGTGACCCAAAATAGAAGAAGTGGATAAAGCCTCCAGTATACTGCCGCGTACGTCCGTTCACGCGTACGTACGCATGTACTGTACGCAGAGGGTTCAGACTTCATACTCCAGCATGCACCCCGAGCAGCTGCAGAGCAGCTTCACAGACAAGGGGCGTTTACCTTTGGGACAAATTGACGTCACCGATTGGTCATTTGCTGACACGCCTACTGGATTGATTGACAGGTCTGAAAAAAGAAAAAAAGCGAGCGCTGGCAGCCTCAGCCGCAGCGGTGTTCTGTGTTTATATGTTGTTAATAAAAAGATATAAAAAAACAAACAAAACATAGAGCATTGGCTCTACAGCCCAAACATCAGACCTGCCCACCAGGAAATCTCCAGACCCTCCTGTAGCCATGCTGGACCTGAGTTTAATTCGCTCGTGACAAATTCCTCCATTTCTCACCATTTCAGTCATGGCATCAACGGAGGAGGAAGAGATCACTGCCTCTTGGCAAAAAAAACAAAAGAAAAGGCCAGATCAGAGATGAAGAAGGGGAATTTAATACATTGGTGTCGCATACAAAACAGTCTGTCGCTGGGCAGTTTATTGTGCGACACCGCATATGCGTATGCGGTCATAAAAATTTGAGCTTTGCACGGAGTGTACGCTGGGGGGTACGCACGTACCTCTGCGTATGTACATGCGTACCTCTGCATATGGATGGACGCGGCAGTATACTGGAGGCTTAAAATATAATGGAAGGATTGAAAGCTGGGGAGTTACTTCACTTAATGATTGTAAGCCACAACTATAGTAATGTAGTGGTCAACTACCATACTGATACATAAACAACTATGTTAAGGCAGCTGTGGCTCAGTGATTACAGCTGTTACCCTTCAACAAGAGAGTAGAAGGTTTGATTCAAGCAGCATTTAGCCACATGTAATGGTATGTCTGGACAACGATCTCTGAAACCCCACTGCCTCCAATGCGCCCCATCAATTTATGAATGTGACCTAAAGCACTGCTTAGACTATTTAGATTAGTTTTGTAGATACGTAGTAGAGTGCTGTATGAATGTGTTGATAGGTAAATGAGGGCACAGGTTGCGTTGTAAAACACTTTGTGTGTCCTGGTTGGCTAAAACAAGGGTCCTTTTCATCCCTGAATAAAGTTTTGGCTACAATAACTACACATGTTAGAAGGTGGAGAACATGTTGCTATATGGAATGCACCAGGATTGTCCTACAACATCCTGGGACATCCTGAATACAACAAGGTAAATGGTAAATGGACTGTATTTATATAGCGCCTTTCTATCTAATCAAGATACTCAAAGCGCTTTACACTACAATCATTTTTGGAAATTTACCCACACACATTTACCCATTCATACAGCACTCCACTAGAGCTCTACAAAGCTAATTGAACAAATCATTCTAAAGAATGCAGTGCTTTATCACATTCATACACCGATGGGACACACATCGGAGGTGATGAGGGGTTCAGTGTCTTGCGGCATGTGACTGCTGATGGATTCGAACCACCAACTCTTGCATTGGAGGACGACTGCTCTAACCACTCAGCCTCAGCCACAGCCACCCTCAAGGTTTGATCTCAGTCTTCATAAGAAATTTCCAACAACTCTTAGGATTTTTTTTGCTTCCTTTTACTTTTCTTTTTTCGTGCACAGCATTATTATTAAAGACATTTCATATTTTGCAGTAAATAAACACAATATAATTTTTTGGGACAATAGCTTAATGTTGGTCACTCATTATTTTTCTTATGAAGTTAACATATCAACAGGATCTATACACAGATAGTAATTTATAAATAAAAGATTGTCACATAAAAGATTGATAAATAAAGTACTATGGCACAAAAGCACAAAATGCCAAATGCTGCCTTAATTAATTTAAAAAATGGGCACTTGCAGTTTAATTACTATGCTACACTTAGTGGACATGACAGGTCTATGGTCCGGGTATCACAGGCAGCTGGAATACGTGCACTTTGTCCATTATTACTGACACAGCAGTGTGGTTTGTAATGGGATTAGGAGACAGGGTAGTACCATTAGAGACATTATCAAATGAGGAATGAACAGACATGGTCTTCAGAGACCTTTTGTACTTCCTACCTCAGCACGTATCAATATGTATTTTATTGACCAGACCTCTTAAGTTCCATTATGGTTCTCCTGGATGCATGGAAGCAGCTGTTTGAAGGGAGCCATCTTGTGACGAGGTCACTGCTTTCACCTTCAGCTCCGAAGGAATGGAGCTGATTTGAAATCCACCTCAAAAGCTACTTTATCTGTGCTGCTGATTATCCATGCTGCTGATTTCTTACCCGTAAGCTGCTATATTCATCCCCATCTGCTCACAACAGACTCATATTCAGGCTGCTGTTTAATTCACCTTATTATATTATGTTATTACTGCTTAGCATTTATCTTAGATCCTTGTATACTGTTTATTTTTTATACTTTATATTTTTGTTATTTTTGTGTGTAACTGAGACTTTGTGTACACAATTTCGTTCCATCTCAAGCACCACATGTGATGCAAATGACAATAAAGAACCTTGAACCTTGAAATCTCCAGAAGACTTAAACAATTTCTCAAGATTTCTCTACATTTTGCATCTTTTCTCTTCAGTTCTCCCTAGTGCTGCAGTCCCAGTTCATAAAAATAACATTCCCACAGCATGATGCTGCCACCACCGTGTTCTCAGCATGATGAAAGGGCTTTGAGCTGCATGGTGCTGTCCGTGATGGTCAAAATGTTCAGTTTTAGTCTCCACCAAGCACAGCACCTCATGTTTGGAGAGTCCCAAATACACCTTTACACAAACTTCAATCTCACTTCTTTTTTTTTTTTCTGGCAACTCTTTCATGAAGCTCAACTTGGTGGAACGTGCATGAACACATCCTCCCATCTCTGCAGAAGAGCTGCACAGCTTCATCACACTTATCTTCGCCTCTCGGCTGCTTCCCTGAATATTATTATTATTATTATTATTATTATTATTATTATTATGATGATGATCTCAGAGATGGTCTCTTTGATTTTTAGTGGAAAGACTCTCTAGGTAGATTTGCTGTGGTGGTATAATATTTCTATTTTTGATAAAGGATCTATTGAATCTCTGGGATGATGGTGTTGATTCTGGAGCCTATCAGAACA